CGCCGTGCTTACTGGGCCTTGGCCGCTGCGGGCTGATATCCAGGTTGAGGTCGATCCTCCGCCGGGCCTCGCGGTTCTCCTGCTTCAGCTTTGCTTCCAGGCGGGACAGCTTCTGCTCCAGGGAGGACGCCGCCATCTTCCCCGCCGCCGCCGCACACCGCCCGGCCACCCGTCAAGTCCGGCAGACAAACACCGCACTGCGCCTGCGCTGGGATGACCCAGCCGAGCCGCCGTCTTGCCCTGCACGGCGCATGTCCGTAACGCGCACCCGCCCTTTCTGCGTACGAACTTCCGCGTGCTTCGTCCCAGCCGGAGGGATGACGCCACCTAGAGTTCGCGGCTGGCAGAGTGCAAATCCCCACGTTATGCGCATGCGCAAGTTCCCGACCGCTTCCGGAAGAGGCGCTGTGCGGGAACCCAGCGTTCTTCAAAGAGCGGTGGGTGGGGAAAGCAGCGCGCATGTGTTTACAGGGGAAAAAAAAGCGGTCCCGCGCTTGACTTCCTCTACGCGTGCGCATCGCCGGCATCTGTTTTTGCTGCGGTCGCTCGCGGTCATTGCGGCGGTGTCTTTTACCTCAGCCACACTCTTCCCGGGCTGACCGTCTCTGGCACCCGCGCCCTTTCAGAATTGTCTTCCTCGGCTGGATAATGCCTCGTTAGGATCCCTGTTAAGCTTAATTGCTGTCCAGCCCCCGTCTCGCAGCGCGGTGCCACCTCCTAACCATAATTAGGCACCTGTGGGGAGCATTTCCACAACAGCCAGTCCCAACAAGTTCGGGTTTGGCTGAGGACAGGCAAGAGGAAAGGGGTAGGGCTGGGCCACTGTGGGGCCCTCGGAATCCCGTGGCGTGACCGCTGACGTCGGCAACAGGGCCAAGGAAGGCCAGCGAGTTGTCAGGCCGACCCGGTGGGACCTTGACACTCCTGCCCATCTGCCCGCCCCTGGAATGTAAGCCCAGCTCCTGGACAGTCTGCAGCACTCTGGTTATAAGCGCCTTTACCTGGTGGACACTCCCCTCCCCTCCCAGCCTGAGCAGCTGCGTTAGCTGGCCTTTAGGGTGCTCAGAAGGCAGTGGTGGTTCAGTAGTAGACTTCTGGCTTCCCATGTGGAAGGCCCGGTTTGATTCCTAACCAGTGCACCTCATGCACAGCCACCACCTGTCTGTCGAGCTTCCAGACCAAGACGGACTAGGAAGAAAGGCCTGGCCATCTACCTGAAAATCAATGAAAACCCTATGGATCACAATGGTCCAGTCTGCAACTGATCATATGGATGGTGCAGGACCCGGCAGCATTTCGTTGTGTTGTACACAAGGCGACATGAGTTGAGGGCCGATTTGACAGCAGCTAACAACAACAAGTGTGCTGGGAAAATGTCTCCATCTGGAACCAACCCCGCGTCTTCAGAAAGCAGCTTACCTCTGCTCTTAGGTGTCAGGAGGAGGCTCGAACCTGGAACACCTGGGAGGTGGCCAAGCCCACGTGAGATAAGGAGCGGGGCCAAGTGCTCTGCCCACACCTGGTCCAGCCTGGGCTAGCGACGACTAGTGAGTGTTACTCTAGTGATAACTTATGGATGGAGCAGACACAAAAGTGGGGAGTCAGGAGAATAAATGGGCAGTAGAGAAAAAGTTCTCCAGAAAAAAATCTAGGCCGAAGATGCTGCATAATTTCTCCTTTTGATTAGCTAAGCTCAACATTTTCCCCTCTTCTTCTGAGCCCCCTCCTAGACTCACACCCTTGATTCTGGCACATGACAGTCGCCACTGGCTGTGGAATTGGTCTGGGGAAGTAGAAGGCTTACATAAGGACATGAGTGGACATAAGAGATCAGAATTAGAGTTCTCATCATTAGCATTCTTTATTAAGCACACGCTGATATATGCTCTCTTACACAGGGAACCTTCAAAAGACATAGTCCCTGTCTGTCCTCAGAAAGGAGTCCCTGGGTAGTACAAACAGTTTGTGTACAACTAGTAACCTACAGGTTGGCAGTTCAAACCCACCCAGTGGCACCACGGAAGAAAGGCCTGGCGACATGCTTCTGTAAAGATTATAGCCAAGAAAACCCTATGGAGCAGTTCTACTCTGTAACACATGGGGTCCCCAGGATAGGGCGGAATGGACTTGCTGGCAATGGGTTTTGGTTTTGGTCTTCAGAAGTCCCTGGGTGGTGCAAAGGGTTAACATGCTCACTTGCTAACTGAAAGGTTGGAGGTTTGAGTCTACCCACAGGTGCCTCAGAAGAAAGGCCTGGAGATCTACTTCTGAAAAACCAGCCATTGAAAACCGTATGGAGCGCAGTTCCACTCTGACACCCATGGGGTCACCATGAGTCGGAATGAACTTGATGACAACTGGTAAACAAATCTTCAGAAAATGTAGCCTCCACAGCATGTGTCCTTAACCTAGGGTCCCCTGACCCCAGGAAGTCCATGCATAGCCTTTTGGGAGATCTATTGCCTGCCTGAGTCTGTTTGCGGGATTTTGCGCGTACGATGGCATTTTCCTGAGGAAAGAGGTACCTAGCTTTCATCAGATTCCCAAAAGGCCTAGGACTTAAAGAGCTCAGAATCCCTGCTCTGGATATTCAGGTCTCTACCCTTCAGGGGAGCATATCTCAAGAGTCCTAGGACCACCTGCATTGGAATTACCTGGGATGCTTGTTAACCAGCAGGTTCTTGGCCTCCACCCAGATCTCCTGAGTCAGTCTCTCAGGGGTGGGGCCTGGAATGTTCTGCTTTGCAGTAGTCCCCAGCTGGTTTTGCAGTCAAATATGAGACCACTGTTCTCAGTTTATGTGTCCATAAGAGCAAACAACTGATAAATAAGGCGTTGGCATCAAAGTCAGGTCTGGGTGGTGCAAACAGTTAAGTGCTCGAATACCAGCCAAACGGTTGGTGGATAGAACCCACCCAGCCGCACCGTGGAAGGCGTGGTGATCTGCTTCTGAAAAGATCACAGCGAAGAAAACCCTATGGAGCAGTTTTACTCTGTTACACACACGGAGTCGCCGTGAGTCGGAATCGACTCAATGGAATGAGTTTGGATTTTTTTGGTTTGGCATCAAAGTTGGGGAGCTGGTCCCTTCTGTGTCCCCTCCTTAGGAGAGAACCCCAGACATACACTGGTTTGTTGGGGGCAGAGGGTTGGAAATCCCATTGGGATGTTCCCCCTCCCTCATAGAGGCATTAATTGAGTTGGGCTGTTGGGAGGTGGGAGGGCAGCTGTTCTGGCCCAGGGTGGGGCAAGGATGTAGGTGAGGTTTGGGTCTGGGAATTCCATGACTAGGTTAATCCCTGCAATGGGGTTCCACCCCAAATCCCTAGCCTCCTGTCTCTCCCCAGACAAACCAGTCCCAGGAGCTTCCCTGGCCCTCACAAGGCTAATGTGCAGGCCCCTCCTCTCCTGGCCTGGCCTCACACGGCCAACTCCCTTGATGACAATGGCAGAGATTGTAGGGCGGCGGCATCCCAAAACCTCCTGCCACCTCAACGTGCCCCGCCCTGGCCTCGTCTCCTCACTCTTCCTCCATCTTTTCTCGCACTTCAGCTGGCAGGCCCTCGTAAAGGGTGTCCTCCACCAAGAGCCCCACCTTCCTGAGCCCCCTACAGTTGCCCAGCTCCTCAGGAAGTGCCTCCAGCCTGTTGCCCTTGAGTTCCAGGCGGCTAAGGGCCCTGAGCGCCCCCACGTGGGGCGATAGATGACTCAGGTGGTTGTAGCCCAGAAGCAATGTCCGCAGCTTGCGGCAAAAGAAGAGCTCGTCCGGCAGCGCCTCCAGGGCATTATAGGAGAGCACCAAGTGCTGCAGGCTCTGGAGGAGGCCCAGCTCGGGCGGCAGGGTGCGCAGCCTGTTGTGGGAGATGTCCAGCAGGCGGAGGCTGGAGCACAGGCCCAGCTGGGTGGGCAGGGTCTCCAGCTTGTTGTGGCTGAGGTAGAGCTGCTCGAGGCTCCGGAGTTTGCGCACGTGCTCGGGGATGTAGGTGATCTGGTTGTGCCACAGCCTGAGCGTGACCAGCTTGCGGCAGTGCTGGAAGCTGAGAATCTCCTCAATGGAGCGCAGGTGGTTGTCCTTGAGGTCCAGCTCCTGCAGCGCCCCGAGGCTGAAGACAGCGTGCGGGATGCGCTCAAGCCCGCAGGCCACCAGCTCCAGCTCCCGCAGCACCGCCAGCTTCTTGAGGCTGTTGAGGGCCAGCAGGCGGGCACCATCGTTGTGCAGGCTGAGCCGCTGCAGGTGCCCGGCCACGTCGGTCACACTGGCTGGCACCTTCCCGGCATTGCTCCGGAGGGACAGCACCTTGAGCTGCTTCAGCTCTCGCAGGCTCTCCAGGGTGGCTGCTCGGGCCAGCTCTGGGGGGAAAAGCCCCTCCAGGTGCAGCTCCTCCAGGCCGCGCAGCCCGAACACCCAGAGAGGCACCTCGCGCAGCTCCTCGCACTTGACGCGGATCACCTTGAGCCGGTCCCGCAGGAAGACCTGCAAGGAGAAGGGCAGCCTGGCGGGCGAGTGCAGCAGGCTGAGCTCCTGCAGATGCACCAGCTGTGAGAGACCTGGCGGGAAGGTGATGTCACAGATGGCTTCCAGCCGGAGCGCCTCCACCTCGCTGAGCTCGAAGACAGTGTCTGGCAGCCCCGGCAGCATGCATAGGCCCAGCTCCAGCTGGCCACGAGCGTTGCGCTGCAGCTTCTGCCGCAGCTTCTCCGGGGTCCACTCGTGGTTGAGATTGAGCTGCTTGAGGCGGCTCTCGCTGACCTCAGACAGGAAGACAGCAAAGCGCTTGGAGTAGAGCGAGTCGTACTGGTCGATGAGGTGCAACATGAAGGCGAAGTCGTTCTTGACGTCAGGGATGTCGCCCATGCCCGTCTCCTCCCGCACCGAACGGAATGAATACTCCTTGAGGGGCCGGTGGAAGAGCCAGTAGAGTGTGTAGAGGCAGGTGAGGCCATAGACGCACACGAAGGAGATGTAGCAGAAAGCCAGCTTGGAGAAGAGGTGTGCCTTGGTGTGGTTGCAGCAGAAGCTGGCATAGCCCGTGACCTCCGAGGTGTCTACCCTGCAGGCCACCAAGAAGCTAATCTTCTCCACATAGATGAGGTTGTAGACCAGGATGGCCAAGAACTTGCACACTTTGAGCACCGTCTGCCGGATGTACATGGTGTACAGGATGTCACCCTCTTCCACGTGCACACGGAACTTCTTGACCTTCTCAAACAGGGCCTTGGCCTGCTCGCCCTCTTTCTTGTCTAGGAGGGTGACGGCTGGTGGCTCTGTCACCACCTTCTCAGGCTCCACCAGCA